GAAAGAAAGAAAGAAAGAAAGAAAGAGGGAGGGAGGGAGGGAGGGAGGGAGGAAGAGAAAGAGAAAGAGAGAGAGAGAGAGAAAGAGAAAAAGAGAGAGAGAGAGTGAGAGCGAGCGCACTCTGGGAGGCCAAACCGGGCGGATCATGAGGTCAGGAGACGGAGACCATCCTGGCTAACAAGGTGAAAGCCAGCCTCTACTACAAATACAAAAAATTAGCCGGACACGGTGGCGGGTGCATGTGGTCCCAGCTAATCGGGAGGCTGAGGCAGAATGGCGTGAACCTGGAAGGCAGAGCTTGCAGTGAGCCAAGATGATGACACTGCATTCCAGCCTGGGCAACACAGTGAGACCGTCAGAAAATAAAAAAAAGAAAAGAGAAGAAAAGGAAAGGGGGAAGGAAGGGAAAGGGAAAGGGAAAGAAGGGAAGGGGGAAGGGGGAAGAAAGAAGGGAAAGGAAAGACAGAGGAAAGGGAAGGGAAAAGAAAGAAAAGGATAGTAAAGCCACTTCTGATGAAATTAGCCTAGAGCTGCATTTCCAAACCCTGGGTTCCACAAAATAAGCATTCCATGAAAAAGGGTTGTGTGTATTAAAACTATCTGGAAACACAACACAGGTGTTAAATACCTTGAATGATTCAAGTATGTACAGTTCCTTGGGCCGGGCGCCGTGCTCAAGCCTGTAATCCCAGCACTTTGGGAGGCCGAGACGGGCGATCACGAGGTCAGGAGATCGAGACCATCCTGGCTACACGGGAAACCCCGTCTCTACTAAAAAATACAAAAAAACTAGCCGGGCGAGTGGCCGGCGCCTGTAGTCCCAGCTACTCGCGGAGGCTGAGGCAAGGAGAATGGCGTAAGCCCGGGAGCGGAGCTTGCAGTGAGCCGAGATCCCGCCAACTGCACTCCAGCCGGGCGACAGAGCGAGACCCGTCTCAAAAAAAAAAAAAAAAAAAAAGTATTAGCAGTTCTTGATGATAACTGTCAAATAAGTTTGGATTGTCCTTTACACTACCGCCCCCTACAGGAAGCCCTTTGCTGTTCCTTGTCGGGACGTGCTAAGTGATGTTCCCCCTTCCCTCTGGAAAACGTGGGTGACGGCGGTATCCCTGGGATATGTAGAATGGAGGCATGACAGCCAGTTGGCTTTGTAGCAACTAATTTAATGTGCCCCTTTAAGGAAGATAATTTAGCAAGAAAAGGGTTTTGAGAAGTCTCACAGAAAATAAACCTCTTTAACTTTGTTTAAAAGAGTATTCCTCAAACTTCTGTGTCCCCTGTATCTCAGTTTGGGAAATGAAGGTCTGAGGCTCTCACTTCTGTTACTAATGTGCCACGTGGCCTTAGGCAACATGTTCCTTCCTCTGTTTCTCAGGTTCTGATAAATAACACGAGGTAGGTGAACCATGTAATTCTGAGAGCCCCTCCAATTCTACTATGCCTTCACAGTTTTAATGACTGAGATCAGGGTTAGTAAACTATAACCCTCAAGCAAAAGTTAGCCCACCACCTGTTGTTTATTTATATTTGTGCCAGCTTTATGTAGGTATGATTAATATACAATAAACTACATACATCTACCACCTGTTTTTTGTTTTTTGTTTTTTTGTTTTTTTTGAAATGAAGTCTTACTCTGTTGCCCAGGCTGGAGTGCAGTGGCACTTTCTCGGCTCGCTGCTGCCTCTGCCTCCCGGATTCAAGCAACTCTCCTGCCTCAGCCTCCTGAATAGCTGGGATTATAGGCATGCATCGCCACATCAGGCTAATTTTTGTATTTTTAGTAGAGACGGGGTTCTGCCAGGTTGGCCAGGCTGGTCTTGAACTCCTGATCTCAAGTGACCCGCCCAAAGTGCTGGGATTACAGGAGTGAGCCACCATGCCCGGCCTACCACCTGTTTGTGTAAATAAAATTCTACCGGAAAACAGCCAGGCTCATAGTTTACGTATTATTTATAGTTGCTTTCATGCTACCACAGCAGAGCTGAGTACGTGTGACAGAGACCGTTAAGCCTACAAAGCCTCAAATATCTGTATTCCAGCCCTTCATGGAAAAAGCTTTGCCGGTTCCTGATTTGGACAGTGTAAGTTAAACAGAAAGAAAAAAGGAGAAAAATGTTTCACTCAGTCATGTTTCTCCTTCAGTGAAGACACCTTCCGAAGAGAGCAGCTAAGAAAACCAGGCTGCTATCCAGGGTGCTACCTAGTAGGTCAGCCAGCTGGCAGCAAGGAAAGCCAGACTAGACGTGAGTCAAGACAAGAAGCCAGCAAAGCAGTAACAAGAGGTCAGGTCAGACTTACAGTAAGCAGACAAGTTAAAATTACAGTTGGCCCACAAGGTGGAAAGCTCATGGGTTAGGGCAAGCAGGTGATATTCTAGAACACGCAGTTCAAGGCAGCCAGAAAGGAGAGGTCTACGAGAGTGTTTAGGTCTAGGTCATTCTGTCTATTCAGAATGACACTCTGTCGAGTGTGTATTCTGGTCTCTCTCTAGGTCAGAGACACAGGCAGAGTCAGCCCTCTAAGTAACAGTACAGAAGGCAGCAATGACAAAGTCCAAGGCTCTGAAAATGCAGCCCCAAGTCTATGCAGTTGGATCCTCTCCTTTATTGGGAAAAGGTGAGTGTTAAAGGGGCCTCACTCAAGTACGGCAGATTCAGAAGCCAGTAACCCACCTCCTAGAGCCCTGGCCACCACCTCTAAGCTGACTTGGAAGACTATGGGGTATGGGCTGGCAGACTGGTAAAGGCATGCTGGGTTTCACTGCTCGACAAGTTTTTCTCTCCTGGACTAACAGCAGAAGTTAGGCATAAACAAGTAGTATGAGCCATAATCATTCATCATCTCTGATGGCAGGACCTCTTGAAAAATCATCAACAAAAGCATATTCACAGAAAACTCGGTGTACTTACAGGAGGTATCATCCAACCATTCGATGTGAGCTGGAGGATATTCTTTAAAATAGGAAAAGACATCTTGGGTGCTCATCTCATCTACTCCGCAAATATAGATTGTCTCCAGTCTCACTTTGGGAATTGCTAGAAAGACAAGACACAGAAAAGATGATAGAATTTTCCTGCCCGCAACTGCACATCCCATCCGCCCTCCTTCCTAACAGTTCAGACAACACGAGTTTAGAAAGAAACATGCTGAGAGAAACTACAATTATTTCAAAAGAGCACGAGACACAACAGTAAGATAAACTACCTTAATTTTTATCACTGAACAACAGCATTAATTCGGAACAGGTGTATCAGGCTCAGAAAGATCAAACAAAGGGTGTTGATAAAATACATGATACCTCTCCCCACATTAATCTGTAGCAATCAGAGCACTATCAAGCTCAACGGGAGTATTTGTTGAAGCTAACTGGCTGATTCCAAAA